GGAAAGAAGATAGATTTTTGTACCGTCAGGGCAGGAATATATTAATAAGGAAGATCAGGGTAGCAAAGAGAAGCTACTTCGAAAAGCTGAAAAATCAGCTCTCAGCTAATGAACTAGCAAATGTGTGGAGAAGCCTGAAGAATATAATTGGCAGACCTTCCTCCATCACTGAAGAGAATCGGCAACCGGCAGATAACCTGAATGTGTTCTACTGTGGGTTTGAGAGGAGAACACTGTCATCTATCATTGTCTTTCCCCACCTCAGATGCACCAGCAATAGCCAAATCTCCTACACCTATCTCCAACTCTCTGGGCCCCCACCTCTGGTGATTTTAGAATAAGATGTGAGAGGTCTATTTCACAGGCAAAAGATCAAAAAAACACCAGGCCCAGACAGAGTAACTCCTTCTTGCTTGAAAGTCTGTGCTGAACAACTGCCTTCCCCCGTATTTTGAATACATCACTAGAGACATGCTATTGTCACTTCTTGCTTCAAATGCTCTTGTATCATCCCGGTTCCCAAGGAACTCTCCATCAAGGAACTAAATGACTATAGATTAGTTGCTCTGACATCTGTAGTTATGGAGATCTTTGTTAGGCCCACCTGGAAATCATCATAGATCTGCTATTGGACCCCTAACAGTTTGCCTACCGAGCAAATGGATCGGCAGATGCTGCTGCCAATATCGCATTGCATGTCAAGGTATTAATTTAATAGCTAAACAGCTTATGTAATGATGTAATGTAACATAAGGTGGATGATGCAATAATAGGAATGACTCAGCCGGTGTCTGTATCCCTTTAAGAGCCTGAGTATAAAAGGGAAGGCTCTGCTGCTGTGTTCTCTCTCTTGTCCGTTTCCTGCTGTAATTGCTGTGTATTGGAGTTTGCTGAATTATCACCTGTATGTACGTTGTTTCTAGTAGATATTGTAATATAAACCACCATTTAATACAAACCACTGTTTACTGTATTTACTCCTGGGTTACCTCAGCGCAATAAGATTGTGCATGCTCTGACGTTGCACTACATCTTGCAACATCTTGAATCCCCAAAGACCTATGCAAAGATCCTTTTAGATGTCTTCAGCTTGCATTCAATACCATCATTCCAGAAATTCCTCACATGTTCCATTAGCTGTGCCTGTCTGTACTTGTGGGTAAACTATTAGCTTTTTGAAAGATAGGAAGCAACCGGTGAAGCTATGGAAAATCACACTGAGAACCTGAGCAATCAGCATGGGTGGCCCTCAGGACTGTGTGCTCTGTCCATTGCTCTTCTCTCGCTATACCAATGACTGCATCTCTAAGGATCCCACTGTTAAAGTTTTGAAATTTGCAGATGATACAACAGTCATTGGTCTCATTCGAGACAGTGATGGGTCTGCATATAGACAGGATGTTGAACAATTGGCCCTGTGGTGCAGCTAGAACAATCTGGATCTGAACATGCTTAAAACACATAGAGATGAGAGTGGATTTTAGGAGGACTCCTTCTATTCTATCACCTCTTACTATATTTGACAGCAGAGTATCAGCGGTACAATCCTTCAAATTTTCCAGGTTCTATAAACTCCCAGGATTTGAAATGAAGACCTAAAACCATCACTAAAAAGAATGTTCTTCTTGGACTTCTGGTTTGACGTCGTGGCGTGACAGGCACAGGAAGACAGGGTTCTGTCTTCCACGTTTGATTTCGCCCCGCTGGGGACCCTAAAAAGGGTTGAAAGTTGTCCCGAAGAGGTGACAAAGAAGGAGGGGACCCTCATAGATCACAGAGAGGCCATGGCCCTTCCACTGGATCTGATGAAGCCCTCCAAACCGGCAGTGGAAAGATTGGCTACATTTGCTGCTGACAACCGAAGACAAGTACTAACTAGCAATTTTTGAGCAACGTGGATGGAACTGGGTGAGACTTTATCCTCTTTTTATTACCTTAATACTACTCTCCTGGAAAAAAGAATGCCCAAAGCAAAGAATCCTCCCCGATGAAAGAGGGAAGGGAAGTTATTGCCCTGCTCCCTCAGGAAAAGAAAAGCGGCTAATTAATTCCTTTGGGGAAAAACAGAGGAAACCACAAGATCAATTTGGAACTAATACAGATCTATAACTTTGAAATTTGGGGACTAAAAGTACCTTTGAGACTTTTTTTTAGAAAAAATATTTGAAAGTTTGCAAAATAAGCTTGGATTTGGAAAGCTGGAAGACAGTGTCAATGACATCTAGTGGAGAATTATGGCACTACAATTTATTATGATTAAGGGAAACTTGGCTTGAAGCCCAGACTCAGATAAGACTCTTTGTTGTTCCTGGACACTTTCACTTTTGCAGACTACAGCTGGGAAAAGAGAAAAACAAAAACTCTTGGGCTGCTTATCTGGGTTGGAGACCCTATTGGACTATAAAGACTACATACAAAAACAAAATTAATGTTCCATACTCAGCCTTAAATGATAAAAAAAATCATCTTCAACACCTGTCTCTAAAGCTCCCAGTTTGATATATCAACAAGAAAAAGTTAATGAATCTCAGAAAGAAATTCTTTCCATGTTGAAATCAATTCACGAGACGTTTTATTTCAGGATGAAACTAAAAGTAACACAAATGAGATAAAAGAACAATTTTCTAACCTAAACTTACAAATCCAGACAATAACTACAAAGAAGGAAATAATAACCCCCAAAACAGAAGGAAAATTAGAAGAAATGGATCCAAAGATGGAGGTCCTAAAGGAAGGAATTAACAGACAGATACAGACAAATGAAAAATTAAAAGATGCAGTGATAACACCAGAAATGGAAAAGATATCGTTAAGATCGCAGAACATATTTGAGGATAAGGAAGAAGAGCTGATCGAATGGATGATAAAGCTCAAGAGAAATGCTGAATGTTGATAAACAAAAAAATGAAAAAGAAAAACTGAAGGAGAAGGATGGAGGCTGTTTAATGAATATAAATGGGTTGAGCGTTCTTCCAAAAACACTTCAAATTCTTTTCCTCATTCCAAACAAATATACAAAAACAAAGGAAGGACTACTTGATGATTTAAATATACTGACTTGGAAAGTTATTTGGCAAAGGAAGAAAGTTAGAGTAAAACTGAAGAAAATAGAGGTTCTGACCTATTAGATGGGATATTATATTACTAAACAGATGTTTGAATATGGCTAAGAAAATAGATAACTGTTAGAAATAAAAATATTATTATAATTAGAAGGATAGAAAGTTAATAAAATAATTATTTTTTAAAAAAAAGAATGTTCTTCCTGCGTCAACTCAGGAAGTTCAGACTGCCCAGGAGCTGTTAATCCAGTTCTACAGAGGATTTATTAAGTCTGTCAATTGTACGAGTGTAATTGTCTGGTTTAGTACAGCAACCAAACAGGACAGGTACAGATTCCAACAGATAGTTAGGATTGCAGAAAAAACAACTGCAACCACCCTATCTTTCATAGAAGATCTGTATATTGCACAGGTCAGAAGGAGGGCTGAGAAAATATCTAAAGACCCCTCACATCCTGGACATAAACTGTTTCAACTCCTCCCCTCAGGATGCTGCTATAGGGCATTGCATGTCAAAACAACTAGACACAGGGACAGTTTTTTCCCTCATCCTATCGCTCTGCTGAACACCTAATTCTCACAGTACTATGTCTGTGTATATTTGCCCATGTTGTATGGCTGTAGTATTATTATTATCCTCCCATCTTCTTTACTACCCTCTCTTATTCGTACCATTATTATGATTATTATTATTCTGTTGCTTTGCATGTACACTGAGAGCTTTTGCACTGGAGACAAATTCCTTGTGTGTCAAATCACACTTGATCAAATAAAGTATTCTATTCTATTCTATTCTATTCTATTCTATTCTATTCTATTCTATTCTATTCTATTCCATTCCATTCCATTCCATTCCATTCCATTCCATTCCACTCCACTCCATTCTATCTCTTATACTTTTTAGAATTTTTATAATTAGTATTGTTTTACAATTCACATGTAACCATCTTTACCCAAAAATGAGTATTTCTAAGGGTATAATTTTAAGATTATCTCTCAAATATTGTCACTCTAGGAAATTTGTCTTGAGACATTTGACGAATGCATAGCCTTTGAAAGTGAATTAATGAGCAACTATGTCTATCAGATAAATTTTAGATAATGTTCTGGTTAAAATACAGTTCTGTAGTAGAACATCTTGCAAAATCACCTTTATAGCTCAACCCAGCATGCTGTAAGTCTAATTTTAAAACCTAATGTAAGTTCCATTCAGCTATATTAGCAATGTAAACTATAGCTTTACACATGGAATAAAAAGGTCATTTATTCAAAATTAAGTTCTGCCATCCCCAGACCGCTGATCAAAATTGTTCTAGCTAGCAGATGTGAGAAAAGTAGTTTATATACAGGTTTAATTCTAAAGACAACCTTCCTTTATATTGTCCATTTCAACTTTGTGCAAAATACAAGCGGACATCAATTTTCAACAGATTCTACCTGAAGAATGGGAAAGGAGCTGTTTTATTTATCACAGCACCGTTTTTTTCACAGGCACCATTCTGTGTAGAGCTGAAGCAAGCAGATATTGGCCTATTTAACTTGTTATGGTGTGAATGCTTCCTGATGAATTCTTCCTGGTACAATAATTTTCTGGATTTTGGAGAAGCAAGAGCAAATTGACACCCTCATTGTTTCATTAGGAAACTAGCAGAGTACAGGCACAAACATAAACTGGATGAAGGCAGAAAGGAGACGTGTGGAGAAAGTAGTGGAGGGGCATAAAAAAAAACTTTATGGCTAGACAACAGGCGCATTACATTTGCCTCAGCTATATTTTGTGGTTATATTCTCCAGCAAAAGTTGTAAATAAAATAAAAATATCTGAGAAATACACAATTGTATCAATCTTTGATCTATTTTATATTGTGATTATTAGAGTCTTTATGTGCACAACAAACATGTATTATATTTTTCAAGATAAAAAAGTGGTCTTTTTACCTCTGGATTTTCATCTTTTCTCTTTTTGGTAGCAGGTCCCTGAGTTGACTCTTCAACAGGTTTCTTTATCTCCACTTTATTTTCTGTCTGAGTTTGAACTTTAGGTTGAATGATGATGACCTGAAAATCAAGAGACGGGTGAAAGTAAGACATGAAAATAAACCAATGCATATAGCTAAAGGAAAGGAAGTTTCCCCAATGTTGACAATTTCAAGACTCAACATGTTCAACTCACAGAATAATTTTAATTTTGGCTAGGGAAACTGCAAAGCCTTTAAGCTGAGGTCTGCTCTGTCAATAAAACATGTAAAAATACAGAAGTTGTAATAAGATTTGAATGTCAGGTAAGCATCCTACAAAAATAACCTTGAACTGACAATTTCCTCTATGTAGGCTTTGCTTTTTGACAACAACAGAAAAATGGCTTGCCACTGACTTCTCTGAAGATATTTTTGGGCTTTTCAATCTCGCCCAAATTTGTATCCTTGATCTCTATAAAGTTGTTGAAAGAACATTTAGACTTACGCTACAGTAGGTCATCAATCTGCAGATAATTGTTTAATCTATAATCTATAATACAGCAGTTTATATCCTTTAGCACCTGTCAGGAATCAGTAAAGAGCTAGATGAGATTGAAATATAATAGAAATTGAGAAAAGAGCTGCATTCCATCTAACAGACCACCCGGGAGCCCTGGATATGATGGAAATACCTCTGGGTTTGGAGTCATATTCTCCATTAAAAATAAAGCTATGGACCGTCTCTCTGGATTCTTCACAGTTACATCAGCTCTGTTGTTTGCATCTGTTTCCTGGTAATTTTGCTTTGATACCATCTTGATCTGATTACCGTTATGGGCACTTAATTGGTTTGCAATGAAAGATGTTTCTGGACACTCCGCCACTTCTGCATACCACAACTGAAAGCCAGTAATGAATATGCCAATTCTGCAAAAGCTCTCTTGCTTAGCTTTCAAGCCAGTTAACCCTTAACCTCTTCCGTGGCCCAGTTCTGGGATATAGGAATGAATCCCTTCACGACTGCCAAGTGAGGTCAAGTGATAAGATTTGATTATGAATCCCATTTACTGAGGCATACAAGATTCCCACTTTATTCATCACGGCGGTCACTGTAGTAAGCAGAAACTCAGATCTGCCGTCTTGATATTGTCTTAACTTAGTCATTTATAATGCCTGCAGTTCCCTGATGAAACCTACCTTGCTGTCAGCACTGATGAGAAGTGGTTGCACTTTAATGCTGTCATTAACCACCGAGACAGCAGTGCTGGTGTTGATGGGCATTGCATTATTGGGAGATGTTGAGATAATGGCATATGCTACCCCAGCACTATTCAGGGATGAGGAGATGGCTGCCGTCTCTGTGACACTTTGTGATTGGCTGCTGGACGTCTGTACATGGCTAACAGTATTATTGGCAGTGGGGAGGGCAGGAGCTGGGTTCTTGATGCTGACCACTGTTGCCTTCTGAAACGTTGGAGGTTGCTTGGAAGGTTGATCTCTGCATGGAGAAATTGGGAGGCTGTCTGGGATCAGAGTCTTTGGCCTAACCTGCAGGAAAGAGGGGAAAAAAACTCTTCTACGTAACTCCAGAGGAAGCCATTCCAATGCTATTTAACAAAAATAATGGGCCTTTTTCAGATCATTTTTTTCCCCCAACAGTTTGCTGAAACGCAGATTTCCAACCGTGGGAGATGAAAATATAGCCCACCACCTCATTGGGCGAAACAAGGCCTAGATCAGTGATGACAAACCTTTTAGAGACCGAGTGCCCAAACTTCAACCCAAAACCCACTTATGTATCATCGGGTGCCGGTTAGGCATGGCCCCTTGGGTGGGTGTGGCCAATTGGGTGGGCGTGGCTGCGGTGGTAACGGCAGACTGGGTGGGAGTAAAAAGTTCAATCAATCAATTCCAACTTTGCGAGATCTTTTTTTTCCCCACGAGAAGTTGAAATTGATTGATTGAACCTTTTTTTTTTTGCACACGGCGATGGAGGCCTAAAGTGAAAAGGTTTTATAAAACCCAGCTGAAGGCCTAGGACTGGGGTGACAGCGCATGTGCCCACAGAGAGGGCTCTGTGTGCCACCTGTGGCACGCGTGCCATAGGTTCACCACCTCGGGTCTAGATCTAATAAGAGAGGCCCCACATAGATGATTTAAAAGCTTTGATTGAAGCCGTTTCATAATACAGACAAATTATTTGTAATTTGCTAAGCTGTTGCAATGTGCGCAATATGAAATTGCAAAGTAGATAGTTTTACGTGTATATTTAGAATACGAGCATTGTAACCATTGGAAATGAGGAACTGAAAGTAACTGATGGATGAAGGTTTCAGATGTACAAGGGTGTATGTGGAAACTGCTGGTCAGCAAGTAAGAACAAGGAACTGATTTTGCAAGATAATGACTACCTGTGGATGGTCGTTGGAATAAAAGTATAAAAGTTATAGCTCAAGATCAGCTCGGGGCCATTGGCCAATAGCTATCCTTTGGAGTTGCTATGTCAGTGGACCTCATTGCAATGGGTTATTAATATAAGTGATGTTGTGTTACTATGCTTGCTATGTTCCAAATTATTAGCAAAATAAACCTAGTTGTAGGAAACATTGGAGAAAGGAGAGCTAAGTACACCACCTTGAATTCCTACTCAAGTAGAATATAGTGTAAGTCAAATGAATTAATCATCTTCCTGGGCAATAACAAGGATCCACCAACTGATCGCTCATGTGTTGATAAAACAAGTGAATCTATCAACAAAGACTGACATATGAGAGACAATGCAAAGGTTTGTCTGAAAGTCCTCCTCCATGATGACGAAATATCCTGAAGGTGGAGTTGAAGATGAATTTTTTATTTCTGCGCCTACAATTAGTGTGTGGAAAGCCTGATTCCAAGTTGAGGCCAAGAACAAAATGGATGTTATCATCCTGATCTTTTGCACTTAATTCATAGCATAATCAGTCTTGGTGCTCAATAGTCTTCTCCTCTAATAAGAAGAAATTGTAGGAAGTCATCAATGGAGTGCAACCATCACCTTTGTTTGTTCACTATTTGACAAGCGTGTTTAACGTATGAAATATTCCTTAGCATAGCTATCCCTAGACTATAACAAGGTGAAGATGTTATGAATGCAGATGAGATTCATCAACAGGAGTTAAGTTTTCCATTTTATTTCTTTAAAGCAGCTAACAGGGCTGGAACGAGGAAGACAAGATGGCGATCCAAAATAGAGAGAAAAAAACCGGTTTTGTAAAAAATCGAAGAATGCTCCAAAGAGATTTCCGAGTGACATTCAAGAAGAGATTTTCCAACCAAGACAGTCTGCAGGTAACTACAATGCCTTCTGTGGATGTAATTAAGTAAACAATATGCTGTACACTCAAGATCCTGCACAAATAATTTATTGTGCTACACAGTTAAATTCAGTTTCTTTCAATCCACTTGCTCTCAGCACTGTTTGTTTTCCAATAATTGGACACTGAAAGTAACGGTCTCTGCTGTTGCCTTCCAGCATGCAAAAGTAGATTTTTAGCTATTGCAGCTGGAAGAATAGAGGCAAAGTCAAGCAAAAGGTTTGCCCTGTTCACACACATATCAGTACACATTCTGCTAGTTCTAGTTGCGTGGTAGTACAATGTGATACAGCTCTTATGGCAATACATGTGTCTTGATTTCTTAACAGATAGGAAGAATCCTACAGAAAGGATGTCTGTGTCCAGCTGTTGAACAACTGGAATTGGCTCCACTCAGCTCAGCCAATAGTGAATCACCTAGTAGTCATTCTTTATGCCCCTTATGACCAAATCTGTCCCTGCCTCCATCTTTTACCCCTGCAAATTAATTTTCTTAATGGAGCTCATTTCTCTTGCAAGCTCTTTCCTCCTTAGACCTCAACGGCACCCACGCCTTGCCACCTCCGCCAAGATCTCATTTTTATGCTTGGAATCTTTGAGGTTCGCGCCTTATAGCAGTGTTTCTCAACCTTGCTGGCTGGGGAATTCTGGGAGTTGAAGTCTACACATCTGAAAATTGCCAAGGTTGAAAAACACTTCATTAGCGTATGTACATAACAAAGTTGGTATAGTATAACCAGGGCTTTTTTTCTCATAGAACGCCCAGATCGGAGTTCCGGCACCTTTTTTGGATGGAACCTTGTAGGATAGGCAAGATGGGTTGTATGACGTGTGTGAGTTCCGGCACCTTTTTATTTTAGAAAAAAAGCACTGAGTATAACAGTTAAGATGTTGGGACAAGGCATGGGGAGATACAGGTTCTAGGCCCCTTTAGCAACTGGGCCAGCTGCTTTCTCTCACCTGATCTATCTCATAAGACTGCGGAGCAAGAAGATGGGGGAGCACTATCTATGCCAGGGCTTTTCAACCAGTGGTACGGGTACCACCTGTGGTACATTGGCACCTGGCAGGTGGTATATGCGACCATCCTAGAAAAGTGGTAGCAGGGGAGGGGAATGAGCAGCACAGCACAAGCCTGAGCGAGAGATGGCTGGAGCTGCAGGGCTGTCAGGGCTCAACGGAAGCACCAGGATCAGCACCAGGCTCCAGCTGGAGCTTGGCGTTGATCCTGGCGCTTCTGCTGATCCCCGAAGAAGCACCGATCAGCTGGAATGTTGCAGCATCTCCAGGGTCTTGTGATTTACGTTCAGATGCTTGGCAACTGATTCATATTTATGACGGTCACAGTGTCCCAGGTTCATGTGAAGTGACCAAAACCTGCTGCAACCACCCAGCAAACAGGGGGAATAAAAACCAAACACCCCCCACCCCCGCTGCCAATCCTCAACAGAAATGCTCACAACAATGAAAACCTCAGACAGGAGGAAGAGTGCCGCTGGGTGGGCAGGCAGGTGTCTTGCTCGGCTGTGGCTTGGGGGGCACTTTTTTCAGTGCTATTGTAACTTTGAAGAGTCACTAAGCGAACTGTTGTAAGTCGAGGACTACCTGTACTTTATCTTTTTTTCCTTTTGGGGGGGGTGTCATCAGATTTTTGACACTTTGCTAGGTGATTGGTGGTACTCGGATGTTGCCATATCCTAAAAGTGGTACAATGGGTCAAAAGGTTGAAAAGCCCTGATCTATGCTACCTTCAATCTTGATACAAAAGCCAGAATATACACCTAAGTAAACGAACAAGGTCCCCCTCCCTTAATTATCTTCTCTTCTGTCCAAAGTTGGACTGAAATTTTTCTGGAAGCCAAGCCTGCTTTATTTCCTGTTTGATTATGAAACTTGTTCTCTAAAGCGGCTTTTATACATTGCAATTCTCTGTAATAATAATCAAAGATCAAAATACTGAGGGCTGAACTAAAGCCCAGTACTTTTTAAAATCTGGCACTACAAGGATACAAAAAACACTCGATGGCGGTCAATCATCCTTTGCTTTCTTTCCTCTGGATTCAAAATCCCATTACTAATGATAAAATAATTCAATCTACATTAACATATCTTATTAGCAAAATAGAACGAATGCTATGGTTAGGCTAATTTAAACACATTTGACATTGTTTTATTAACGAACAGTATATTTGCAGATAAAATTTCACACATACAAAATCCTAAAGTAATTCTGTTGCATATGTAAACTGGTAGCTGCTGCCCCCTTGTGAAAATTCGGCTCAGCTGCACATTCTACCTACATCTTAAGTTTTCGCCTGTTTTCAAACCATGTCAAATTCAAAATAATTCATTTTACATATAACAAATAAATGCCACTGTGTGCACAACCTAAGCTTTAAAAAAAAATCAAATAGTTGCCCTGACCCAGAGGCCAAGAAAAATTAGCATAAAACAAAGAGCTGTTCTCTTACTGAACTGTTTTAATCCTCACACTCCACGTTGTGCCAATGAATTTTAACTAATAGTTTTAAAATATACAATTAAAGGATTAGAGGGTTTATTAAAAAAGATCCCAAAAATATATACTACAAACGTATGTTAAATGATGATAAAACTTTAAAGAGGAGGTTATGCACTCAATTCTGAGATAGAATCAAGTAGATATGATGGAAGTTATGCCCTCTGCTTCTAGAATACTTATGTTCAGGAAATTTAATCAGATGGCAGTCTGAAATACAGAATATTTTGAGAAAGGAAAGTGGATTTTCTTATAAACATTTCATTTCCAGAGTTGATTTGATCACAGTCCCCATTGGAAATCTTTTGAGGTTCCACCGTGTGAAAATTTGGAAGTGCTCATTAAAAAGGTGCGCAAGGAAAACGGTAAAAATCAGCCCCTCAGTTCATTTCTTTTATTAAATTGTATGTTCAGTGATGATGCAAAATTACAGTCTTGCTCCTTCATTCTTGTCCCTGAAAACATTCTTCTTCATAAAAAGAGCATAAAACCCACAACTGGATTGTGATTTCCAGTTACGATCTGAACAAACGGCTGCTCAGTACGTTTGAATGAAATAGTCTTCTGCAAAATTATGATTCACTGCACAGAGGATAGAGGAAGAGGATGTGGGAAGAGACAGTCAAAGTTCATAAGCCAGCTTGCTCACATAACTATGGTTTAGTATTCCATGCAGT